TGTGCGAATTGCGAATGTTTTTTATCATTATCGTTACGGTCTCTCGTCGCGGAACGGTTTCCGCGACCTTCCCGCGTTCCCGGCAATTACCGGATTGTTAAGCCGCCTAGTCCCGGCAGATTAACGATCGCACGTGCACGCGCGCGCACGTCCGCGCGTGTACACGTGTCACACCGCCACGCAACGCTTAAATCTCGCGACCTCGCGGGCTCCGTGTATGTACCACGCGTACAAGGTGTTCGTTCGAGACACTCTCGATCCGATTACAGTAATGTCTCACACTATCTGTCGCCGGGACCGAATTCTAAAGTGTCCGAGAGTAATACGCAGGAATTGATTTCTTCGAGCCTCGCGGCTCGCCTTTATTGTTGCCGACACCTCGTGAGAGGGAGAGAGATAGAACGAAACTCGAGTCGAGCGAAACTATGTTGTATACTATGTATGTAAGGCAGCGGTCAGTATCAGAGACAGCCGGTGTACAACATTGTAACGATAGAATAAAAACGATGGCTTAACTTTTTTTATTTCTAATTTCTTATACATGAAAATTTTTTTAATATATTGGTCACATTTTTCCAATAAAAATGATACCAAACACGACACGCTTTAGACCATTCTTATTCGTTATACGTGATAAGTAACTTATTTTATTTGCGAAAAAAGCATTACGAAAACCGATTTTTAACATATGAAATATTAGAGGCAAGGTCGAAGAAGGTATGTACGTATGTTTTTCGAAAGAAAATATCACCAAAGTTACGCTATTCGAGTCGACGTTAGACACCGAGAATAGGAAGCTTTACACGGACTGTAGACAGAAGGAAACGAAGAGACGGCCGAGAATGAAGAGTTCCATGTTTGAAATTTGCTGGGACGGGAGAAGCAACATCATTTCGAGGACGAGCCTACACGTGGAGGCTGTAAAGGAACTGTTTTCTGTACATTTTCCATCGACCCTGGAATTTTAAGATGTCGAACATCGAGAAAGAACACGACATTTAGCAAATTTGAATATGAATTATTTACAAATTAATTTTTTTTTACATTATTTGTTACGGCATCGGTAAAGTCGACAACTTTGCCTAAACTCTTTTCCACCGCACACCACGCGCATCTTGGCAGTAAATCACGTGCAACGTCTATCGTCTTTGATTTTGTCGACAGAAATATCTGTCCAAACTATATCGTATTTGGTCTCATTTTAATCGGAAAACTATCAGCAATGTGTTAAAAAAAAAGATCAGTGTTAAAATGTTAAAATTAAAAAAAGTTATGTCATTGCATTACGAGTTGTCTTCCGGGAATTCGAGTCAAAGGAGCCGCGGCGCGTGCCGCAGCACACGTGTTCACCAACACCATCGAACTTTAGCATAGCGAGAAAATCGATGAATTAAAGGGTCGCAAGAAAATCGATAAATTTCAGGGCCGTAGCAATATCTCGGCGTCGGGATTGGCATACTCGAGTTACGCCGAGAAGAGAGACATTACTGTAT